AAACAACCAACTTAAGTCTTATAGTTTCTTACAAATTTCTAATTCTAAATTTATCGTTAACAATAACATTTACTTCTTGTCGTATTGTTGTCATATTAACACCAATAAAACAAAACACTATGTCGTCGTATACTTACATCGTTGGTTATATATTGATTTTTAACAAGCTAGAAAAATATTTTTTTCGTCCTTTAATCATTATATTTTCATTAAATAAAAATGATCAAAAAGCTTGAAATTGAAAAACACATACGATTTATCAAATTGGGAATATTTTTTGCAGTGAAATCTCAGGGGGGGGCTACGCCCCTCCCTGAATCTGTCAAGGGGGGCGAATGTCCCCCTCTCCCCCCCCTGTATCCGCCCCTGCCCCTGCTGTATGTCAGCCAGTGCAGTTGGTGTACTGGGCGGGTCAATCGTGGGGCAATCTAGGTTGGGCTGAGCACGTTCCGACTTTTTTTATTTTTCCGTTCCGTTCTAGAACGAGGGCTAGATTTTTCGTCCTCGTTCATTCTTTTCCAATCGTTCCATCCACATTCCGCTCTGTTCCGTTTTTGGTGTTCTTAGTCGAGAAGAGGTTCATCCCGTTCCATTCCGTTCTTTATGTTCTTTGTGGAGAACGGTTCCATTCACGTTCCGTTACATTTTTTGTTGAGAACGGTTCTAACATAGTTAAAAAAGGTATCAATATTTTTTCAAAAAAGGGGTTATTATGGTGGGGGGTCAAAATATTGCCTCGGGGGGAGGGGCTCAAAAAAATTTTCCTGATTTAAATTGCATTCTCGACTTAGAATGCGTTTCTGGTAATAAGAATGCGTTCCTGTTTTAAACATTCTTTTCAAACAATTTCCGTGCGTTCTTTTTTGAATAATTGTTACAATATTTTTTTCTGTTCTATGTTTTCGTTCTTTTTTCGGAACAATGGGATCGTTCTTGATAATTCCGTTCGTTCTCGTGAAAGAAAAATCGTTCCCAGGAACAATGCCCAGCCCTAATCCAAACTAGGACCGTATAGAGCAGTTCAGATCAAATGTAGGAGTTGAGTGTGAAATAACCTATTCTATTCAGGAGTTTGAATATGCAGTAAAGGAGTCAGAGAAACAAATAACAAAGGAAGATTTGTACTGGCATAATCTAGGTGAGTCATCTTGGACCTTAGAAATAGTCTACAGCATTCTACTTAGGTAACCTGATTTTAGCAATGATTATTCAAGAAACTATAATCACAGAATAGTCCTAGATCCTGCTATATATGTGGTCTGTAATTTTTGTGCTTTAATAATTACCGGAGATAAAAATGATGTGTATATTTTAAAGTAAAACCCCAATAACAAATAATCAATTGATTAACTGAAAAATAAGGATATTTCGTTAATTATTGATCAGAAAAAGGCATACAAGGTGAATCGGACATGCCATTCAATAAATGGAAGATCACATAAAATTACGTGCTCAGTCCCTAAACGCAAAAATAATGGACAAAACCATGCATCTTGAGATTTTTTCTTTTTTTCCACAAACTCTAATTTTTGAATCACATATCTCTGCAACCAGATGCTGTATGTATATTTCAAACTATGAGTTTTTTCAGCTTTAATATTCAAAGTTTTAAATATCTAAGGTGTACTCCATCAGTTTGATGAGATATGGGAACTAGACATTTTTTTTTGTGGAAAACTTTATTCCTTTAAACTTCAAAATGAAATTTTTACAAAAAAATTGAACTGCATTCATCATATTATATAGAGAAGATGGCTTCTTTCACGGATGACGAATATTTGAAGTTCAGGAATGACCATGTTTTGGAAATAAGGTAGTTTTATTAATTAGTCTAGTTTGCAGATTATGAGTCCAAAACTATATTAAGAATGCGCTAGTTTTAACAAATAGGATGAGCCATTTAGTAAAAATAAAAATAAAACTTAATATTTAAATAAAACTTAACGTTAAGCTGTTCCTTTTTGTTCTTTAGTTTTGTACTCTCAGGTTGCTATTTAAATTTTATTACTTATACCCGAGTTTAGGGCTGCAACTTAGACCCGACTTATGAATCAGCTGACAACAGCTTGTGTCATGTGATCAACAGCTGCCAACATTTAGACTCGACTTTTGCAATTAGGCCTGATTACAATAAAACTGGCCTTGGTTGAATTTTGTAATGTTGATTCTTATTCTTCAAAATCCCAAAATCCGCTAATTCCAAACATAAAAATCCACCAAATACGATATAATAAACTGTTGTTTTAATAAGTCTTGATGGCAGCTTAGTCTTGAGTCTTATTTTCCCGAAATTTAAAGATCGCAGGCTCATGTTAGTTTCAGAGATTAGGTTAGATTTAGAGATTAAGTTAGTTTTATAGATTAGGTTAGTCTTAGAGATTAGGTTAGTTTTAGAGATTAGGTTATTTTTAGAGATTAAGTTAGTTTTAGAGATTAGGTCAGTTTTAGAGATTAGGTTAGTTTTAGAGATTAAGTTAGTTTTAGAGATTAAGTTAGTTTTAGAGATTAGGTTAGTTTTAGAGATTAGGTTAGTTTAAGAGATTAGGTTATTTTTAAAGATTAGGTTAGTTTTAGAGATTAGGTTAGTTTTAGAGATTAGGTTAGTTTTAGAGATTAGGTTAGTTTTAGAGATTAAGTTAGGTTTAGAGATTAAATTAGTTTTAGAGATTAAATTAGTTTTAGAGATTATGTTAGGTTTAGAGATTAGGTTAGTTTTAGAGATTAAATTAGTTTTAGAGATTAAGTTAGGTTTAGAGATTAAATTAGTTTTAGAGATTATGTTAGGTTTAGAGATTGAATTAGTTTTAAAGATTAAGTTAGATTTAGAGATTACATTAGTTTTTAGAGATTAGGTTAGGTTTAGAGATTAAATTAGTTTTAGAGATTATGTTAGGTTTAGAGATTGAATTAGTTTTAAAGATTAAGTTAGATTTAGAGATTACATTAGTTTTTAGAGATTAGGTTAGGTTTAGAGAATAAATTAGTTTTAGAGATTAAGTTAGGTTTAGAGATTAAATTAGTTTTAAAGATTAAGTTAGGTTTAGAGATTAAATTAGTTTTAGAGATTAGGTTAGGTTTTGTTCTTCTAGGCAGATGATAGTTGATGGTAAACTACCCACCAACTACAACTATACAGATGTCCCGCAGTTAAATGGATATTTTGTCAATTCAACTCATGTTCAGGAATTCATGGAACAAATGCATAAAAAATACTTAAGTTTGATTTTCAGAAATGTGAGTAGAACATGTTGAAAAAAAACTTTTTTTTGCAAGGATGTTCAAAAATAAGTTATAATTAAAAAAGGCTTTTTATAAAAGGACTGTTTGAAAAATGTCCATCTCTCCCAGTTTTATGATCAATGCATGACAATATTGTTTTTTTTTCTCTGAATATTAATTTTCTCCGAGAGCAAGTGTTCTTGCAACAAAAAAATTACATCTAAAGAAATTGAGTTTTTTTTTTCTAAAGCTCTGATTTTCTAATTTCTGTATTCTGCTCGTAGACCTGTGCAAGTTCAACCTATGCATTCTGTTAAATTTAACAATCTAAGTTGAAGTATGAAAGCTTTTTACCATCAGGTTGATCTAGGGATTTCCAAAGGAACTGAAAACATGCCTGCAGACAGCCAAGCTAGATTTACATATAGATTTATGTTTTGAAAATCCTCTAAAAACAAAAACGAAATTCTTTTAATATTTGTTTGTAAACCATGAATGCAGAGAAATGGTTCGATCATAAATCTTCATCTCCAAGAAGAGGAAATAAAATATAAAGATTTTAAAAGGTATTTTTTAAATTAGATATTATTACCATTGTTTAGTTTATTTACACTATAATTATCTTTAAACATTCTTTAAACAATTTTTTTTATAAATAATGTTTTGAGATCATCTTTTTTTCAAATAGCTACTTAAAAATTGTTTTTATACATTTAATTATGTAACTTTTGATTTTTAATTGAAGGAGTGTCAGGTCCGATTCACGACGGTGCCCTTAAACGTTTTATGAATAAGATTTCCATTTTTTTTAAAGCTGATTATTTTCATTGTGGTTTCTTGAAAAGTGAGAGAAAATCAAACCCAGAACGACGGTTATATTCTTCCATATTCTTAATCAGAAAAAAATGTTACGGGTACTGTTGTGAATCGGTCATATCTTTTATGATTATTTACAACTAATGTACAGGGAAGTTAAGGGAATTTTTAGCTTAACCAAGGGTTCCAGGGACCAATTTTGCCAACAAAGTGAAGGTCGAGGAACCCCGTGGCTATGAAAAATTTTTAAATTCCCGAAAATGCACAATTTTTTCTTTAGAAATAAAAATGCAAAAATTTTTTCAGAAACAATTTTCATACTGGGTGATTATTTTACTTAATTGTCCCAAGGGACGTTAAGTAACTTAACCTTCCTCTGTTAAGGGAATAATGGGTCGGCAATGTTAATAAAAAGACGGTAAATATTGTAAATTTAGTAAATATTGTACTAATTCTAGGTTTCTGATGATGAACAGATATTATTTGGAGGAAGAATTAGCGAAGGAGGTTTCTCCGGAGAAAATAGAGAAAATTCAAGCAAGAATTCAAAACAAAATAAAGTAATTTAAAAATATTCAAGTTTCATTGAGGATAAAATATGGAGATGAACAGGCTAAAATGGGGCGGGGGGGCCCTGTCTTTTTTTGACCTGTCACAAGACTAATTCAAGATGTGGGGGATAACAGAGAACACGCCTGAAAAGGGGGACGGGGAGCAGGATACCCAAACATTTTCAAAGATATATCTCATATTACAAGATATTTAATGAAATTTGATATTTTCGGGAAAGTCGAGGGTCTTGGAGGAGTCGTTCATTCTTGCTGGGAATTTCAAATTTTCTAATTCATATATCTTTGCAACCTAATTGTGTAAACCTTTGATATCTTAGTCATAGTATTTTTTATCTAGCAGAAATAGTTGTATAAATTTTAAAAGTTCTACGACATGGGGTTAGATAATTAGAGTTTGTGGCAAAAAGTCAGTTCCTTTATTAGTTAAAATCAAATCAAAGGAATTACTGAAAATAAATAAAATTTTAATAATTTTTTTTCATGTTCTTTTTTTATTCTTTTATATATTCTAGAAAACAGAATTCTGATAAATCTTGATAACTTTCTTTTTTCTAAAATTGTAGGAAAAGAAAGGAGAGAATTGCAAGAGCAAATATTCCACTCTCGGATAAACAGGTTAGTGTATTCAAACTTAAAGAGACTGTAAGCGTAATTTCAAATCAACCTCTATTCATAGATGGCAATGCCCGATCGACAGCAGTTCTCTTAAAATCTTTATCTGCTCAATCATGTCACGCACCTCTGACCTTTCAGTAAAAGTAAATTCAACCTAAAGTCTGACCGCGTCAACATTGTTGCACCGGCTAGTCCTTATTGAGGGCCTGCTTTATTTAACCAATGTCCAGGCGATACAGTACAAACTGGAACCGGAAAGGTTGACCCGGCTAGGAAATTCAAATGTACTATGGCTGCCCGTGATGTGGAAGATATTGTCGTTTTTTTTTAAGGTTTAAAAGTATTTAATCCGCACAAATCTTATAGTTTCCCCGCTGTAGAAATGTCCAAGTCACTTTTGTAGAGAAATTTTGATTGAAAATAATCAGTTTTTAAACTGTTAAATATTAATATCTAATTCATACTTGAGTAGACAACGCTTTCTAAGGGTACCGTTGTGAATCGGGCATTGCCAGCTTTGCATGGAATTACGCTTACAGTCCCTTTAAACCAACATTATTGTTTATTTTCCATTTTTTTTTCTATTTATAAATGTTTGTAAGAAAATGGTGAAGCTGTTAAAATGATGAACAATTATTTCTTTCATTTTCTATGAAAAAAAAAACTTTTCAAAAGTTTGAATGTTTTAATATTTTCACGCTATTACCATGGAACACGAAATGATTGTTCTTTAGTCGCGAACTCTGTAGCTCGTATGGTAAGTGTAAATTGTTTATCGTTAACGATACTTGAAGGCATAAGAACACTTTAACTTTTTCATAAGGGGGTCAAGCGGGAGATTTTCTGCTTTTCATAGTTAACGATGTTTTGATATAATAACAAAAAATCAAATAAAATCATCATAAATAGATGTTATTTACATATTACCAGAAGACTTCTCTCCTCACACTTATATCTAGACAAATCTGAAATTTAGTCTTCAAATGTTGGCCTTTAGTTTTACCTCACCAACTCACTTGTAATTTTGTGCAGCCCTAGACATAAACATTTTAAAAATGCATTAGAGAAATACTGCTTGATATTTGCGTTTCTGTGTGCACATCTTGTGCGTGCACATCTTGAACCTGCACATCTTGAGCGTGCACATTTTGAACCTGCACATCTCGAGCGTGCACATCTTGAACCTGCATATCTTGAGCGTGCACATCTTGAACCTGCACATCTTGAACGTGCACATCTTGAACCTGTACATCTTGAACGTGCACATCTTGAACCTGCACATCTTGAATGTGTACATCATGAACCTGCACATCTTGAACCTGCACATCTTGAATGTGTACATAATGAACCTGCACATCTTGAGCGTGCACATCTTGAATGTGTACATCATGAACCTGCACATCTTGAGCGTGCACATCTTGGTTTGCAGTGCTCAAAACACTTTTGGAAATCTCTTGGGCTTTACTTGTATTATCTTGAAAACAATTTGTAAAAGAATTGAGTTGTTGCCGCAAACTCTACTTTTCTAATTTTATCTTTATCGATGTCGTAAACCATTGATATTTTAAACTAAAAAATCAAAGGTTTACAACATCAGACTTCAAAGATACAGAGATACATCTAGGAGAGAGAGGTTTGGAAGAAGGAGGATTTGATGGAACCTGAAGAGTTTAATATTGAAAAGTATTTTTCACTACACGATACTGATGGAAATGGATTACTCAGTAAACAGGTTTTATATTAACCTTATTATACGTTGGGGTATGCATAGGGGAGGAAGGTCGAAGGGTTGGTTAGTGTTCCCAAAAAATCCAAATTTCTTTTAAAAGCCTTCGCAAAATGGACTTTATAACATATGTTACATTTTTATATTTGTCAATAGTAAAAATTATTATTTTTCAGCTTTTTTCCGACTTACTTTTGAAAATAATTTTAAACCCTCCCTGGCACCCTCACAAATAAAGTTAGAGGTTAAATTTTTTTAATGCGCAGGCCTTGAAAAGTTGAACTAGGAACATATATGTAGTATGTACTGCACTCCTCTATATGAACTCTAAGGGCAAAATCTTTTTTGTACAATTTTGGAATTTTTTATTTTCATATTTTTCACAAATTAAAATATTAAGCGATAAATGTTTTTAATGCAGATAATCATTTTTTCCATTCCATTCTTTCCTGGGTATCTTTCTTCACTTTATTTAACTGCGTTGCATTAGCTGCATACCCCCCCCCCCCCTCCCCTGAAAGGCAATTATGCAGTTCTGAAAATAGCTGATTTGTATTTCTCATTAATTTTCTGCAAGTCTGTAATACTGGAAAGAAGTATGTATGAAGAAATTCGTTAATTAACTGGATTAATCGAATTCCTTCACAACCCGATTTTGGCTCCAATATTTTAAAGAGAGCGTTTTTATGCATTCGTTAATTTTCCCGGACGATGGCATGGCTCTTCGGAATTCCGTTCGTTCCCTGCTAAAAACAGCCAGCCCTTGTAACAAAAAAATGTGGAATTTGTTAACAAAAGCAAACATAACCGTACGATTAAACAAAATATTGGGAATTCTTTTTTCTGTTTGCAGTTTGCACTTTTGCTAAGCATATTAAGGGTTACAGTCAGGGATGAGTATTGTTTTTAAAAATAATAAAAAAAATGGGACAAAATTTAGTTTTTATTTGGATTCTTTAACCAAAAAACATGATTTTAGAAAAATTGAGACCATTTTTTAAAGTTACCTAAACTGTACTAGTCGAAAATTCATTGGCTCCTTGTAAAGTTTAGTTTACACGTGATTGCAGGTTAAACTCCTTGATAGAGTGGCATGTAAGATTCACGACGTTACGTAACGATGGAGAAATTAACAGAATTAAACACAAACGACAAACAATTAGAAAAACGACGTTATCTTCCATATTATTGATCAAAGGTTCAAGGGTACCGTTGTGAATCGGACATCTCCTCCTTTAAATGAAAATTCAAGAACTGTCCTTTTAAGGAGATAGGAGGAAGCTTGATGGGAGAGCTTGGTAAACTATATGATCTTCAAGATGATTCTGTTAAAGAGGTAAACACTAAACATATTTTCTCTTCTTAAGGGGACTGTACAGTGTACACGGAATTTCTAGTGTTCTCTCATTTGATGTTTTACATGACTGGAGAGTGGCATCTTTTTCATTTTTAAATGATCTCAGACTTTTTTATTCTTAAAACTATTGTTTTATTCTTTAAAATCTAAATTTATTTCCAATATTCTCAGAAAAAATAGATTGCGTCTATTTTGAACTTTATTGGCAAGGTTGCTGCAAATTCTTGAGAATCTCATCTAATTTTTTCAATTTGATACGAACATATTGTACATATTACACTTACACAATGCCATTTTTTTGGGATTTGATATTCTACTAAATTGTCGAAAAATATGTTTTAAAGAAATTTAACCATGCAAAACTTATAAAAACATTTCTTTTGCATTTCTTTTCCATCCCCCCTGGACCTCTTTAATATTTGTTTTGTAAAGGAGAGAGAAGCAAAAATGGCTGCTTGGATGCAGTACGTTTTCAACACAGGAGACAGGTACACAATATATTGTACAGGGGTCTCCTATAACACAAAGTAGTTTAACCCATTATTCTAAAAAAAAAATAGCTCTCAAATTAGTTTTTTTTGTTTAGTATTCGAAAAGAATTAGCTTAATCTGTCAGATGACGAAAGAATCGGATTAGGTCTAATGTGATTAATCAAAGTACAAAGGGGTTTATTGAAGTTTTTTTCAGAAATAAAGACAATAATATCAATATAGAAGAACTAAGAACTCTAGCAGAGAAAAAGGTATGAACTTAATAAGATAAAATAACGTGGGACACATTTAAACAAAAGACTAGAGTCGTTGTCACACTTTGCACCTTTCAGGCCCCCCCTCTCACGCTTTGCGCCCTTCCGTCCCCCCCCCCCTCTCTCACACTTTGCGCCTTTCAGGCCCCCGCTCTCACACTTTGCGCCTTTCAGTCCCCCCCCTCTCTCACACTTTGCACCTTTCAGGCCCCCCTTTCTCACACTTTGCACCTTTCAGTCCCCCCTCTCTCACACTTTGCACCTTTCAGTCCCCCCTCTCTCACAATTTGCACCTTTCAGTCCCCCTTCTGTCACACCTTGCACCTTTCAGTCCCCCCTCTTTCTAAATTCTTTATTTGTCACAAACACAAATTTTCTAATCCTTATATCTTAGCAACTTGATGGTGCAAACCTTCGATATTTCAAACTTTGATTATTTGATCTACCAGAATTCATAGTTTGAAATATCTAAGTTCTACGGCATTGGGTTGCAAATATATATGGATTAGTAAATTTGAGTTTGGGGCAAAGACTCAAATCCTTTTCCAGGAATTTTCAAAAATGTGTTTATAAAACATGTTTTACATGTGTCCTCAAATTCAGAATTTCATAAAAGAAAAAAATAGTAAATATTTGAAAATGGGGGGGGGGAGGGCTTGGGATTTAGATTAACTTTTCCACATGATTATTTCTTGATGACTAAAAAATGCATAGTTGGGTTACATTAAGTGTTGAAGTCTTTGCAACCTGACGGTCTTTACCTTTGATATTTCAAACTTTGAATAGTTGACCAAACATAATTAAGAAATTTGGTTGCAAAGATAAAGAAATTAGAAAATGAAAGACTCAATTCCTTTGTTTGGAATTTGTTATGAACGGAAATTATTTTTTATATTTTTATCCTGATGGAGGATGAAGAGTTAGTTGAAGGAGAACTGGATTATTCTGAAGATGATTTTGGAAAATTTAAACAAGAAATGGAAAATGTTTAATATTGACTGTGAAGAAAACGAGAAAGAAAAGGATTCGTCCTGATATCATTCCCAAGGAAGGGTTTATTTAAATCTTCAACTTAAAGGGACTGTTTAAGCGTAATTTCAAGTGACAGTAAATGCAAAGATAGCAATACCTGATTAACAACGATACCCTTTATAACTAGAAAAGTGTTTAATTCTTATCAGTTTTCAATTGAAATTTAATTAATACTTGATAAAATAAAGTTTTCAAAGGTAACGTTGAAAATCGTACATTGCTATTTTTGCATGAATGGTCACTTGAAATTACGCTTACAGTCCCTTTCAGATTCCCAAATGTGTGATCCTTTTAACTCATTTAAGAGAGGTCACTGAGTAGTTTGTAATTTGCAATTTGCTATTACTGAATTTTTGTCTTAAAATTAGAACTTTTTTGTTGTGAATCTTCCCATCAAGTATTGATCTCCATCAATTGCAGACAAAGTTGCAGATAAAATTAATTTCTTTTCCATATCCCGTGGTTGGTATACTCCGCAGGGATAACTTCAAAAGAAGGTTACAGCGCGCATGTATTCCAAAAATCAAAAGTGCCCGCTTTGGATATCGAGATTTGCATTTTTTTTGAGATTAGCATTTATAAATTAAAAATGCTTAGTGTCATAATATTCAAATATTGATCACAATTACATACTCCATAAAGTAATTACAATTGTAGCCTTTGTTTGTGTGTGTGTGTTTGCGATCATATGTCATGCACCCGGCACAAAGATCCAGCTGCTTAGAAAAGTTGTATACATGACATTTTCAAGACGGAACGACTTAAAGTGCCGAAACACTTTTGCCTTTAATCTTAACTCAATTGTACTTCAGCTTCAAAACTATAAAGCACTTGTTTTTAGCTCTAGTTGTAAAGTAGTAATTGGCAAAATTCTGAACAATTTTTATGGGAGAGCTTGCAACCTTTGTATCACTGTGACCCCATTGATCGATTTGTCTCATATTTTGATTAAGAAACTTCCTAGAAACTTGGTTTTATAGTTCTTTAAGTTATTAGGAAAGATCAATTTCAATAAGTGTTTTTATTTGGTTGGAATCTGATATTCCACGGTTACTTTCTCCACAATTGAATAACAAGACAAAGGAATTGAGTTTTTGCCACAACTTCAAATTTTCTAATTTCTATATCTCTGCAATCAGTGAGTATAAACCTTTGATATTTCAAACTTAGATTATTTGATCTAACAGAATTAATTGTTTGAAATATATAAGGTCTACGACATTGGGTTGCCATGAGAATATTTGAGTTTGTGGCAAAAACTCAGTTCCTTTTATTTAGAAAAATATTAAATTGCATATAATAATACTACCTGAATTTTGAATTTATTAAAAAAGATTGTAAAGCATGAAATTAGTGAGATTATTGATACAATGAAAAAATAGTAAAAAATTTTAAAAATGTCATTGTCCCAAAATATTATTGAAATCCGAAATTGAACGTAAATTTAACTAAATATATGTCCGAGAGAAATTATGAACCCTTACTCTTACTTTTTCAATTTAAAGCAAAACATGAAAAGTAAAAATTAACTTTAAAAAATTGCAATTTGTGCACCTTTTCTTAAAACATTTTAAAATTTCCCCATAAATTCTAACATTCACAATGACACATGTCTTCATTTTGTGTTACGCAACATTTAACAAATCATGGAGAGAAACATCGCAATAGTTTTTATCTTTCTTTTGTTGGTGGTAGGTAATTGAGATAATTCTATAATTTACAATGTAAATAGAGATGAAATTTTTTGTTATTTTTCGTATTGCGATTTTTTTTTCAATTGGCGCATTTGTGGATTTTTGATTTTTGCTTCTCTTATAGTAACTATAAGCTTGAAAATTCTTTGTTTTTAGTTTTAAAAGGAATGAAACACACAGATTTAATTCATCGCATATTAGTTTTATTTTGAACTTAAATTAAAATTTTTTTTTATGATTAGTCGGATTTGTTCTACAGAAACTTTTAATGTTTTTAGACTTTTAAAAGGTTTTATGACAAAATGAGAAGGTTCCAACATTATAAAACTGTATTCTGCTTTTATCAAACAAGCAAATCTGTTATCCTACATTCAAGAAGAAAATATAAGGAAAAAATATCGTTTTAGGGTTTATAAAACAATAGTTTGTAATTCGTTTTTGCATAACATTTTCACCTAGAATAACAAATTTGTATGTTTGATAAAACCAAACTTCTACAGAATACAATTTAAAATTGTTGGACCATTCTCAGACTGTCGTATAATCTTTTAAAAGTCTAAAATATTAAAAGTTTCTATAAAACAAATCATGCTCATGCCCATCCCTATTAATGAACTTTATATTTCTGTGAATATTGTTGTGCTCGAAATGTAAAAAATAACTTAATTTGTAACTTTAAAAATAAAAGATTTGATAAATTTAAGTGTTTAATATTTTATTAATTCTACGGATATGATTAAAAAAAATAAAGAAGTTAGTTTAATGTGTTTAATAATTCGATAAATAACATTAAAATTCTAAAAGATATAAACAGGTTAAGAACAATTTTAGTATTTTTTTAGATACATGATCATAAGATTTATAATAATTGGCTACCCCCCCCCCCTTATTTCTACCATCAAATTTTGGCAGAATAGTTTTCAAATATTAACAAAATTTGATTTATTAAAGGGTTTTCTTCAATTAGTAAAATATCAAATTGAAGCAGATTTAAAGAACTGATTTAGCTGTTAATATTCGGAATCTGATGTTGTAAACTCTTGATATGTCAAACTTTGGCTATTTTTGCATTGCTCCAAAATTATAGTTTGAGAAAATGTTGCGAAGATAAGGATAAAAAGTTGTGAGTTTGTAGTGAGTAAGTATTTTATTAATTGAAGAAAAACATAAACTCTTAATAAGTTCAGCGGTCTCGAATTTTCATTCATCCTGGATTCCTGAAACAAATTAGTTTTAAAAGTATAATGCTCTTGACGAATACGGTTATGTATCTACCATATTTAAATTTTAGAAGGGTATTTTTAACAGAAATCTGAAGAGCTGATTAGCTCCTGCAGTAGCGGAGTTAAAAGGAAAAATTTACCAGTTTCTGAAAAAAATAAATTGGAGCTGTAATAAAGAATAATAAAGATATTTAACTTTTTTTACATCCTTGAGATTTTCATCTTCGATAAATTTCTCCAGTTTGCGGATTTATCTAATCTTATTGGTGGATTTCTTTCTTGATGAGAAAGACAATATTGGCTCAAATTGCAGTAGGCTGTTTAACTGTAATTTTAGAAGAACATTTTTTCCCAAAACCAGGACAGTAAAAAACATGTTTGCAAAAATATAGTTGTGCAATAAAATGTTATCAACAAATTAGTTTGAGCATTAACCAAACGCACCTGTCTGGCGTAAGCTCAAATTTGGTGGAATGCAAAATTTGAAAACTGATGCTACTAAATATTTTAATTGGATAAATTTGGCTCATTTCTCAGACAAATGTAGTTCGGTGAAAATCATATTAGACTAAATGCATTATAAAACTCTTACTAAAGACAATGCAATATATGCAAAACATTTATCCAATCTTTTTTTACAAAATTTCCCAATTTGAAATATAACCACCAAACAAATTAAAGATTCCATTTTTTATTAATGAATAAATGATTTTACCTGCACAAGGTGCACACACAGGGCTCCCTTCAATCGAATAGAAATTAGCAGATCCCTCAAATGTCGTCTTACATTCCTTAAAACCAATCGTATTGATAAAACTCTTTTATTAAAAAGTGTATTTAAAAACATAAATATGTCACTTACCACGCATTTAAAGCAAGAAACATGCCACTGTTTATCAAAAGCCTGAAAAAATACAAGCTTTCAAATTTCGTGGTTTTAATAGATTTTTTGCTTTCTCTGTAGGTCAGTAATATAATCAGTTTATATCATGACAGGAGAATTGTTGTTATTGATTATACTGAAGCCATCGAGTAAATACTTTTGTGAAATCTTGCATGAATAATTAATTATAAGAAATTTTCAAAAACAGAATTTGTATTTTTTCTTTATATTTTTGAGAGTTCCCATTAAATACCGAGTATCATTAAAAACAAGTTATTTTACATTGCTTGTTTAAATAGGTTTGAACGGAATGATTAGTTCAAATAGAATAGGTCTTGAAAAATGGTTGTACCACCACACCTTCTTCTGTGCAAGTTAAAAGGGACTGTAAGTGTAGTTTTAAGTGATTAACAAAGGTACCTCAGAAGTCTTAATCTAATTAAAAATGTAAAGAATAACGTCGTTTTCTGACTTGACAATAGCTAATTTCTGGTACAGGGTGTCCCAATAAACATGGGAATTCAGTGACGAATTCGATATCGTCTTTTTAAATAATTCTTTGATTTAGTATAGTGATACCTACTGAGAAAGCTGTAATTTGTAAGAGTTTCGTATGCTATGTTCACATTTTGTTTGTTTATGTTTTGACTGCATACGGGTTGTACTTAGTAAAACAAGAAAATTGCAGTTATAGGGTTAATAAAATGTTGGAAATGATTTCTTTTATTAATATTTGCACTCGGCACAGGAAGAGTCAATAACATGTTGATAAAAATATTTGTGCCCAGTGTCAGGTTTGGAACATAAGCACGGTTTGGAACTTTCTTCCTCCGTAGTTGCCTACTTATAAGTTAATAGTGTGCTCGACCTTATAAGGGTGGAAAACTTTTTTTTAACTTCAACTAAACATTATTTTGCCTTTTTCAATCACAGACTTGGCTTTTACCAAAAGTAAATTTTTGTACATTTTAAACGTTAGCAAACATTTCTGCAGTCGTTTTAAAATTAAATATGATCAAGAAGTATAAAAACTTCAATCCTGCTATATGTATTTCTTAAGATATATTTGTTTAAGCTTTAATTCTGAATTAAAACCATTTCTACAGCAAATTAACAAAAACTGACATATTTTAGACAATATTTATAAACCTAGCTTTACAATTTAAAACTTCTAACCAATTTTACATAAAAAAAATTCAATAAAAAACATCGTTTATGAGTCCAAACAATAGTTTCAGAAACGAAGGCTCATTCGATTTTTAAAAATCTGAAACGAAACGAAAAAATATCGATTTTTTATCGTTGTCAAGGTCCACCTTAATGTGTACCCACACAGACTTGGGCAAAAAACACAAAACTAGAAGAATTATGATGTTACAAAAACGTGGCAGTATTATCGTTAAAATTAAACCTTTTCTAAAATGTCTAAATAGAATATATTGTACCTTAAGTGCTCTATCAGTAATAGGATCACCGCAACCCCCGCACTGAAATTATTATGTTATATAAGATTAAAGATATTTTGGAAATATACTTATTCATCAACTAATTCACATAATAATAATACTATTTTTCATTCTTGCTGTGACAGGTTTGCACGTGTTTACTTGGAGAGTTAGGAAAAACAACCAAATAAAGGTTAATCCTAATATATCTACATTTACAAAAACATGGAAACTTTGACCAATTAGATGCATTGTTAACTGATTTCTAATTACTTTCAAAGTTTCTATTTTATCGGATCTGAAAAACAACTAAGTCAATTTAACCGTTGTTTTCTAAGAAACTTTTAGTGAAACCTGTCAGCGACGTTTTTGCTAACAGCTGAATATGTGTCTTTATTTTTGTAGATATAAATACGATGCATAAGCCAAGAAAGGTGCTCAAATCTAGAGTAATTAAGTAAACTGAAATCTGACACGAACCATAGAAAACAAAAGTTGTGTCCTTGAATTGCATTTGTTTCTTTGATTTTCATACAAGGTTACCCACAAAGGATAAGACTGCCTGTTTTTAAAAATTCATTGATTTTAAATTCCTTGTAAAAGTTCAAATTAAATCATTTTTATCTCAGTAAAAAGAGTAAACTATTTTTGTAACTGGCCTTGCAGTAATTTTAGCTATAATATACGAGTATTACTGCCCAAAATTAAATGAAAAATAAAAATTTTAAACTGAAGTCATGGTTAGATAAATACTGACATAAAACTAACTACGACGAAGTGAACAATGTATCAGATTTTTTTCAGTCAAACTTTGATCAGAGTACATTAGTTCCAAAACTAATACTTGGCCCATTTCTAACACTTTAAGCGATAGAAATGGGCGCAAATTGAAAGACAGGGTTTATGGGATCCCGGCCCATATCGAGAGTAAAAGTCGGTAGTGAAAACTTTAACCAATATTTTATTAAACATGATGAGGACTACAATTCCCAATTTAAAACTATTTTCTGAAATTCTGGTTATCCTAAACGTTTTAGCCTGATCCCCTGAAAACTCAAGGCTGGGCGACGAATATAGTAACGGGCTCTGTAAGGACAAACCCACCAGTCTCGGGATGCAATAATGTTAGGATTTTCAAAGTTCTTGGATCTGCACCAAAATTTAATACAAGCTAGATGAGAGAATAGAGAGTCTAACCTGAAAGTCTCATCCCGGTCCCTTGAAAGCTCAAGGCTGGGCGTCGAAGATAGTAACGGGCTCTGTGAGTCGGGTTCGAGTGTATAACCAAGACCCGCCAGTCTCGGGTTGCATTAATGTTCGGACTCGCCCTCAACTTCATCGGCTGGGGCGGTCAACTTGCACTGCTAGGCAGCTCACCAAAATGCAAGCTAGCCCTGGGAATGGAGAGGGTACCCTGAAAGTCTCAGCCTGATCCCTTGAATACTCAAGGCTTGGCGACGAATATATAGTAACGGGTTCAAATGTGTAGGCAAGACCCGCCAGTCCGGGATTGCAAATATGTTCGTATTTTCAAAGAATGAAATTTGTTGCCAGTCCCAGGGGGCACAAATCTTGTGAAAATGTTCTGGTAGGCAGGCTCTCTGCTGTTCCAAAAATGTGCTTGCCAGTCGGATCGCTTCACGTACGAGGGTGCTAGAGCGTCAGGAAACCTGTCGGTCGCAGGGTGCAATTTAAACTTTATATTAAAATCTTGACCGTTTTCAAGACCATGTCAGGCTTTCTATTTTCGAACATATCCTAAATTTGAATCATTGTCTCGTTTTCGAGACAAACCTCACTTTCCCGTTTTTGAGTATCATCCGCTTTTCAGAACAAAGCTTACTTTCATAACTTACAAAATAAATTACTGAAAGTAAAAATTATCTTATTCCACTCGGCTTGGATTTAAAGATAAATACTCTTGAAAAGATAACTTTGCAGATTTGGTCCATTTCTAACACTCGGTGTAAGAAATGGACAAAGTGTTAGTTTCGGAACTAATTTCCCCTGAAATTACAACTTAAAATATCAACAAAAAAGTATAAATAAGCAAAGACTAGTTAATGGATAGAAATGGGTTCTAAAGTTAAAATACACTGGCCTTTCAATCAGAACCTCTAGTTTACCGTGACTAAATACCTTTCGATCAGGACCTCTAGTTTACCGTGACTAAATATACCTCCTACAGGACCTCTAGTTTAACGTGAATAAATAAATCTCCTACAGGACCTCTAGTTTACCGTGACTAAATGCCTCCTACAGGACCTCTAGTTTACCGTGACTAAATACCTCCTCTTGATAAATAGGTTAAAATCCAACCTTTGGGAGTACAGTGTCAGTGTAGCAGTGATCACAATAAGGTTTCCCGTCCTTAACAATAATACTGAATAATAATAATATTTTACGGAAAAAATAATGATATTTGATGGTATTGTGGTTGGTAGCTGGAATTATGATCTTTTTTGTTTATAACACTTTTACACATTTTCTATCATCTCAATGTTATCTCGGAACTTGATAGAAGACAAATATTGTTCATAACTTTAATCATATAGTTGGAAACACTAACGAGAGGCTGGGCTCATTTCTTATTTGATCACATTTTTGTTTTTCTTTTTACTCTGGTCTAGCATGTACTGATATGTAAAATCTTGGTTCGATGCCAGGGTAAAAATAGTAAATAACAATTCACAAAGTAAACATACATAGATTTAAATTGAATGATAAATTGATAAATTGATACATCGTTAAATTGATAATTTTTTGTTTTGGGATATAACCACCCCTCAACCAAGCCAAACATATAAAACCACCAAGGCAAGAAACAGATAGAATCCCTAGGGACTAGATTTAACTGGTGCATACAAAAGCGTTTTTAAAAAGTGTTCATGAAATACATCATTAAATCATAATTTGTTGTTTCCTAATTGTCATTTGTCATGTAGAAAAGTCGATAATAATATAAAACAATTCTTTCTGATTTTTTAAGTGGAATCCCAAACTCTAAGAATCCCAAATGAATGTCAACCAATGTTGGGATTGGAAGAATTGGGATTGGGATGAGGATTAGGAAGTTGGAATAGGTTAGACAGGGACCGATGGGAATTGGAATGGATATCAGCTAAAGAGGAAGTCGGGACTGGGATTCAATGAATGTTGGGATGATAAAAAGGGTTGGTAAATTGGTAGTTGGGAAGATTGAGTAGATGTATTTAAAATTACAGAGAATAAGTAATTTAGTGGATAAAAATGTTAATATAGGGGTGAAGACGACATTTTGGAAGGAATTAGCGGATTATTGTTAAGTTAGAATAAGAGAGGGAAAAGAGTATAAAAATCATCATTAGAATCATTCAGTAATCTGAAACAAATACTACTATTACTACTTATGATAATAATAATGATAATAATAATAATAATAATAATAATGAAGATAATAATAATAATAATAATGAAAATAATAATAATAATAATAATATCTATTTTTTTAAATTGCAAAAAGTACTCCAGAGTTTTATTTTAATATATAAAGAAGACTGATTACCTTTGCCCTGTAACTCATTTCTGCGCTGAATTGTACGAGGCATCCGTAGCATTGAAAATGTTGAGGATGCCATGTCTCATCCATGGCCCGCACACAATCCTACAAAAAATCAGGGACAGTCAACAGAAAAATGGAAAGAAATAAAACCAAGAAAATCGGAATAGAATATTTTTTTTATTTCCTGTATTTCCTGTATACAATTTATAAGAATGTTTTAAAGATAATAAATTGAAAAAAGCTGAACGTTGCTCACATCCGTAATAAAACAAAGCCGGGTTAATACAAGGCCAGACTTGAATAATTATGCATAATATGCGGCACACTTGTTAGTCGAGTGAGGGAGTGCACAGCACACCACCTCAATGTGTAATCCTTACCACCCAAATGTATTTTGCGGCCTGCTAATTGAGCTTCTTTTCTTAATTTTAAAATTTTAATTTAACCCAATTCTTTAACACTTTTCAGCTCTCATTTAATCCACCAAACCACAAGACCTTTGAATTCAAATGTTTTTTGTTTGTAGTACCAACTAACTATTTAATATTACAACTATCAAACCAACTAACTATTGAAATAGTAAAGCTATCTAACCAATTAACTATTAAATATTGCAACTTTCTAACCTACTTACTATTGAACATTATAACTATCTAACCAACTACTTATTGAACATTAAAACTATATAACCAACTAACTATTGAATATTAAAACTATCAAACCAACTATAAATATTGAATATTATAACTATCTAACCAACTAACTGTTAAATATTGCAACTATCTAACCTACTAACTATTGAATATTATAACTATATAACCAACTAACTATTGAATATTACAAGTTTCTAACCAACTAACTATTGAATATTACAACTATCACACCAACAATAAATATTGAATATTATAACTATCTAACCAACTAACTATTGAATATCATAACTATCTAATCAACGAACTATTGAATATTACAACTTTCTAACCAACTAATTAATGAATATTACAACTATCAAACCAACTAACTATTAGGTATTGCAACTATATAACCAACTAACTATTAAATATTACAACTATCTAACCAACTAACTATTAAATATTACAACTATCTAATCAACTTACTATTGAACATTTTAACTATCTAACCAACTAACTGTTAAATATTTCAACTATCTAACCTACAAACTATTAAATATTACAACTTTCAAACCAACTAACTATTGAATATTACAACTATCAAACCAACTATAAATATTGAATATTATAACAATCTAATCAACTAACTATTAAATATTGCAACTATCTAACCTACTAACTATTGAACATTATAACTATCTAATCAACTTACTATTGGATATTATAACTATCTAACCAACTATAAATATTCAATATTAAAACTATCTAAATAACTAACTATTTGATATTACAACTATCAAACCAACTAACTATTGAAATAGTAAAGCTATCTAACCAATTAACTATTAAATATTGCAACTTTCTAACCAACTAACTATTAAATATTACAACTATCTAACCAACATATAAATATTGAATATTATAACTATATAACCAACTAACTATTGAATATTACAACTATTTAACCAACTAACTATTAAATATAACAACTTTCTAACCAACTAATTATAGAATATTACAACTATCAAACCAACTAACTATTGAAATAGTAAAGCTATCTTACCAATTAATTATTAAATATTGCAACTTTCTAACCAACTAACTATTAAATATTACAACTATCAAACCAACTATAAATATTGAATATTACAACTATATAACCAACTAACTATTAAATATTACAACTATATAACCAACTAACTATTAAATATCGCAACCTCTGTTTATAAAGATCTAAAATAAACCTTCAAGTTTAAACTGTAAAATGCACAACGTTGAACTTTAAATTAACACAAAACAGCAGTTTTACTTAAAGGGAGTGACCGGCTATGTAAGCTAGTTGAACTGAGGACGCAGTGTTGTGGAAAACTTCTTTAGGATTCATTTGAGACATATTTCACTTTTTTAAAAATCTGTAAATCCTGAGTTTGAGCGCAAATTCGACGTTCAAAACTCCTGATTTGGGGGTGGATACGCTTTCAGAATTAGTTTTTTTAAAATTATTAATTAACGACGACATAAAATGTAAAAATATTCTACATAAAACTACAGACGTCATGTTTAGGAACATTTTGAGAAAAAAAAAGTAATCTTATCATCGAAAATAAGTAATCTTGTTCAATTATTAGTTTCTATTCTCTCATTATTGTATTTTCTCGTTATTCACAAAGATGTTCGCAGATTTTCTATAATTATTATTGAAAAGACGACATTTAAAGAATTTGAAGAAATCTGCGAATAAATTCAAAGAAAATTAGAAANAATAAAAAGAAATATGTTCCTAGCCATCTAATTAGATTACTGTATAATTTTTACTTTATTTTTCGTTGTCGTTATTTAATAATTAAAAAAAAACTAATTCTGAAAGCGTATCCACCCCCAAATCAGAAGTTTTGAACGTCGAGTTTGCGCTCAAAAAAGTGAAATATGTCTCAAATGAATCCTAAAGAAGTTTTTGACAACACTGCATACTCAGTTCAATTACCTTACATAGCCGGTCACTCCCTTTTAACTTCAGTAATACGTTTAGGGGAACAGTGGCAAAATATAGTTTTAAAATATATTACAAAAGTTTAAATAAATACGATCGCAATGTATTTGATTAAATATGCGAATCAAATTTTCCATTTAACATTTTTTAAATTAAAACGTTTACTTGTTGTTTAAACGTTGATTTTTGAACCTTAATAACCGAACGTTCATTTTAAAACGTTTATGTTCAAACATTCGAGGCAAATTTGTAAACGCTTTTTTCAAGAATTTGTGTTCAATTGTTCATATTTAAATATTCATGTTCAAATTTTGTTATTGTATTTAAGGTTAGTAGTTAACATATGCTGTCTGTTGTATTTGTGCAAGTATAGATAACCAATCAGAAGTGAAAAGCAATCCACACAATGAGAGTATAGGTAACCAATCAGAAGTGAACAAATCCACATAATGAGAGCATAGGTAACCAATCAGAAGTGAACAGCAATCCATAATGAGAGTATAGGTAACCAATCAGAAGTGAACAGCAATTCACACAATAAGAGTATAGGTAACCAATCAGAAGTGAACAAATCCACACAATGAGAGTATAGGTAACCAATCAGAAGTGAACAAATCCACATAATGAGAGTATAGGTAACCAATCAGGAGTGAACAGCAATCCACATAATGAGAGTATAGGTAACCAATCAGGAGTGAACAGCAATCCACACAATGAGAGTATAGGTAACCAATCAGAAGTGAACAAATCCACATAATGAGAGTATAGGTAACCAATCAGAAGTGAACAGCAATCCACACAATGAGAGTATAGGTAACCAATCANTTGAAGCTATATCAATACTTGTTGCTGTTATGTACTCCTTGTATTGAAGCTATATCAATACTTGTTGCTGTTATGTACTCCTTGTATTGAAGCTATATCAATACTTGTTGCTGTTATGTACTCCTTGTATTGAAGCTATATCAATACTTGTTGCTGTTATGTACTCCTTGTATTGAAGCTATATCAATACTTGTTGCTGTTATGTACTCCTTGTATTGAAGCTATATCAATACTTGTTGCTGTTATGTACTCCTTGTATTGAAGCTATATCAATACTTGTTGCTGTTATGTACTCCTTGTATTGAAGCTATATCAATACTTGTTGCTGTTATGTACTCCTTGTATTGAAGCTATATCAATACTTGTTGCTGTTATGTACTCCTTGTATTGAAGCTATATCAATACTTGTTGCTGTTATGTACTCCTTGTATTGAAGCTATATCAATACTTGTTGCTGTTATGTACTCCTTGTATTGAAGCTATATCAATACTTGTTGCTGTTATGTACTCCTTGTATTGAAGCTATATCAATACTTGTTGCTGTTATGTACTCCTTGTATTGAAGCTATATCAATACTTGTTGCTGTTATGTACTCCTTGTATTGAAGCTATATCAATACTTGTTGCTGTTATGTACTCCTTGTATTGAAGCTATATCAATACTTGTTGCTGTTATGTACTCCTTGTATTGAAGCTATATCAATACTTGTTGCTGTTATGTACTCCTTGTATTGAAGCTATATCAATACTTGTTGTTGTTATGTGCTCCTTGTATTTAAGCTATATCAATACTTGTTGCTGTTATGTACTCCTTATATTTAAGTTATATCAATACTTGTTGTTGTTATGTACTCCTTGTATTGAAGCTATATCAATACTTGTTGCTGTTATGTACCCCTTGTATTGAAGCTATATCAATACTTGTTGCTGTTATGTGCTACTTGCATTGAAGCTATATCAATACTTGTTGCTGTTATGTACTCCTTGTATTGAAGCTATATCAATACTTGTTGCTGTTATGTGCTCCTTGTATTGAAGCTATATCAATACTTGTTTTTGTTATGTACTCCTTATATTTAAGTTATATCACTACTTGTGTAAACTTGATATTCTGTAAACTTGCAATACGTTGTACATTAGTAATGATTTAATGTTGTAAACTTAGACATAATGACATTATTCATTGAATAATTAACATAATTAGCTTAAATCATGCGACATAATTAAATCACGCTATAAAACATGTGCGGAGATAGCTTAACTGCGTTATATCTATTCTCTCTAATCTTATAAATACGTACATGAAACTTTAACTGTGAAATAACTACGTAATAATTAAATAATTAATCATGTAATATAGATAACATCATGGGAGTTGTATCTACGTCAATTCCTTATGAATTGTGGCATAAGATATTAAATAAAAATAGTTTAATAGAGTAACTATGAATGCTTACTGCGTGAGAGTGAACTTGAAGCCCTGTTTTCACAATCAGGCGGGATAGGCCCCTTTAATGTGGGATCAATATATAGCTTGTTGTATAACTAGGCTTGTGTCTGTGTGTGGCATTCATAGTCCTCAAGCCCTGTGTTAATATAACCAGAGCTGAAAACTTTAGAATGGTGGATATCGGGATTAAGGCTTAATCCACTCTTTTTCTTAATCTCGAGATTAAATATTGCTTGTTCTCCTCTCATTTTTAATCTCCAGATTAATTATCCGNGGGGGGGGGGGTCAAATTGATCCCTCCCCTCCCCGGGTATCCTGGTTTTCAAGTACCCCAGCAGGGATAGGGTTAAGTTATATTAATACTTACTGCTGTTATATACTCCTGGCATTTTGCGCATTTTGGAACAAACTTTTTCTTGTAGTCATCGTCGCAGTAGAGTTTATTGTCTCTGAAAATGTTAAAATTAGTTTCCACGAATCAAGATGGCTGTGTGAGACAGTAACATGGTGTTCACTATATCGAACTGACCGAAAACATTTTATTTAATTTAGTTTTCTACCAGATATTAAGATACTCAGTTTTCTGTTTACGTTGAAAAACAAATTACAGTTTTTGTCACAATTTTATCAAAACATGTTTTTTCTCCTTGTAACATCGCACTATACAACATTTTTTTATAGGTTTCACGTGAATCTGTTTGATGTCAAGTTATGCGTATTTCCTAGTTATTTCTGTATCTTAACAACAACATAAAAATTAAATAATTTTTATACCAAAAAAAACTTTGAATTTCAACACAGAAATTTTGATTATGATTTTGTAAATAACAAAAAATTTCTATGCTGCTGTGCGTAGAAACCGTTGACAGCTAAGAAAAATGTAAAAAGACAATTTTAGGAATCCTTTTATTTGCATCACCGCACCGTAAAGTTTCCAATTGGAATTGTGCTGAATTGTGCGGAATTGCGAGGACATTAAAGGGCCCGCGATTGCACACAAGTAAAATCTACTTGCATTGGATACATGATAGTTTTCAAGACGACATTCTACAAATTCGTTCTTTGTATTCGAACTTCTGGGTTATTCTGCAATAAAACCTTACTTGGAAAATACTGGAAGATTGCAGAGGTTTTGTGAGCAGACAATACAGGTAAAATGCTTCTCATGATAAAATTGGTCTTTGGCCTGAACAATTTATATCTTTATTATATAAATAAGAAACCTCAATTTGGATGTTTGTAAGTTTGTGTGTCCGATCATAATTCAGGAGCCCCATGACTGATTGGCTTATTATTTTAATTGAGGAACTCGGTATGAACCACAGAAATTTTCTTCGTCTGGGTTTTTTATTCTAATAAGAGGAAATTGACTTATACAGGGAAATATTAGTTTTCAGGCAGGTTGGGTGAGTTGGGTTCATATTTAGAAAATTCAGTTTTAAAGCATCCATACCTTATGATGCAGATATTTTCTTTCTACAGTGATATGCGATTATATCAATATAGTGAAGACGATTTTCGATTTCAATTTTGATTTATTTCGAGCTGTTAAACAGCATGGANGGGTATGAACTGTTGAGATGAAAAACTATATTCTTGCGGTTTTTCGAAGTGTTATTTTCCTATTTCTTGTATTAAAGGTCAAACAAGAGAGGATCCGGCTGATTACATTTTCGTCTGCTTTTCAGGGAACACTAAATCTTTTTTAGACAAGAAAATTGGAAAGTTAAGCTTTTAATTTTTAAGATTAATTTTATTGGCTTTAAAAGGATAAAAAAATTATATTTTTCTTCTGAAGTTCAAAATTGCCCAAACTCCTTCACTTTTTCAACATCATAGCTTTGAACAAATTCTGTACATATTTACATATGTACATTTGTACTGCTCTCTATTGTGTTTAAGGTCCCCCAGATTTCATTATGTACTGACAACATAAATGAATGATTATATGGTTGGTTAATCATAAAATTGCGCGTTACGTGTTAAAAAAATATTTTCTAAAAATGCTATCTACAGTTTTATTTTTAGAAAAAAAAAATTTAAGTATAAAAAGTTCTCCAGTAATGCTAATATCATTTCATAAAATTCTGTTTTACCATTTAAATAAAATGATTTTATGAAAATTATATTTACTTTACACTGATCATTAATTTCTCAAAAATATAAAAAATGTTCTCCCGGAAAATACCTCTTGTTGCTTTACGTAGCGGTTTCTATACGTTGGATTTCTATAAGGTTTGACTTCAATTAATTTGTTTGAATAGATGTAAAAACATGGTCATAACATGTATCAAACATGTTAATATTTGTCAAAAGTAAAGTTAAGCATTTATCAACATTTTTCTGACGTACTTTAGGAGTTTTTTTAAAGCCTCCCTTGCACCCTTACCCTTACCATTAAATAGCTGAATCGGGATAGGGTTTAATGGGTTCACAGAGACACAGACAGTAAATTTCCATTGATTCTAATTTGTCTGAGAGTAAATGACATTCCTTTTTAAAGACGGGATTCAATGATAAACTCGAGGGCTTGCGGATTTTTCGGATTTTTTTTTTGCCTTTGTAGATTTTAAAAGTATTCTTTAATGAAAATATCCCGGCGGGATTAAATGAAAATTGTTGCATAACAAAAAACCAGCTTTTTATAAACTTTTATGAACTTCTTTTATCTTTAGTTTTGTAGTCCTGAACTTCTTTTATCTTTAGTTTTTGTAGTCCTAAACTTCTTTTATCTTTAGTTTTGTAGTCCTGAACTTCTTTTATCTTTAGTTTTGAAAATGTAATTGACAACTTTCATATCTTGCAACCTTTAGATCAAGCTGTGAGTTCTCCAGACATTTAGTTGTGCTTTGCTGAAAAACAGACAACAAAACAAAAGTACAAAACTATAAGTAGAAATGATGTAAA